AAAAATGTATATATATATATATATATATATATATATATATCGGTAATCTGTATCAACTTTAGGGAAGTGGAGTAAGGGGTTACTCTCTTCAAGAAGTTATAGATTCATTGATGCCACAGCCTTTTGCCTATGGCTCTTGGTCAACATCTCTGTAGTAGATAATGTAAATTTCAATAGAAGAGATGGCATGTAGCCTGAAGCCTTTGAATCATCATGGTGACCATAAAAGCTCTAGTTCCAAGGTCTTGGACTGTATGAAATCATCCTAAGGTAGTCCGGGATGGTTGTAATGGGTTGAATGGGGGTCTCAAACAATATGCCTGTGCCCAGTCCCTGGAACCTGTGATGGTTACCTTATTTGGAAAAAGAATCTTGGCAAAGAATGAAGGTAAGGATGAAGGAGGGCTCTTGTCAACCAGGTGAGTCCTTATACAAGGGAGGCAGACAGGAGAAGAGGAGGCAAAGAGTAGAGTGATTTGGTCACAAGGCAAGATATGCTGGCAGCACCGGAAGTTGGCAGAGGCCCTTGAGGAAGGATGCTCCTCGAGAGCCTCTGGAGGGAGCAAGGCCCTACTGACACCTCGATTCCATCCGTCTCACCTCCAGCACTGTGAGAAAATCAACGTTGTTTTAAGTCACAAAGTTTGTGATTTCTTTTAGGATTGCCTCAGGAAGTGAGAACCCGAACTTTATGGGACTTTCTCCTCTTTTCTTCTTCTTTGCTGGGTCTTACAAGTTTTCTGCCATGGATTATATACACACACACTTCTCTCTCTCTCTCTCTCTCTCTATATATATATAATATATAAAACATTATAATAATATAGTAAAATAAATATAGTATCATATGTAAATGTAATAGCTTTATTAACATAATCCACACATTGTCCAATTATAAAGAGTTAAACCTTAAAAATAGTGTGTCATCACCATCACAATCAATTTTAGAACATTTTCTTCATTGTTGTATTCATTATTATTAGCTCCCCATTTCTTTTCCATCTCCCCTGCCTTAAACCTAAGAAACTATTACTATATTTACTGACTCTATAGATTTACCTATCCTGGATTTCAGATAAAGAAAATCATACAAAAACAAAAAAACAACAACCAAAAAAACCCAACAACAATAACAAAGCAGAAAATCCTCAATTGAAAAGAAAGCAGAAAATAAAAACCAGAACAAATTGAAAAAAGGAGAACAAATGATAAAGTATTAAAATTTAACCTAGCCCCTTGGCATCCCTTCACTTTCCAGTGCATTCTGACAGGGAGCAGTCTTAGCATATTTGCATTTTTCTCCCCTGACAGGACCTCCAGGTTTCGGCTCAATTCCAAATGCCCCA